GACCAAATCAATGGTTTTTTTTTTTTTTTTAAATAAAGTGGGTTTTGCCCTTGTATGCTTCTGCTGAAAACATCTCTGCTGACTCGCTATCATTACTGATTTCTGTAAACTACATGTAGTCCCATTGACATCAATCCCCCCCCCCCTCCACGAGTGGCATTTTTGTAAACATTATCAGTTATTGGCTTCAAGGGGGAGTCGTAATTCGTACCCCCTTTGTCTGACAATGGACTTTGTTTCAAATCATTGACCTTCTGTGTCAACGACTTGCAACTATCGAAGAGCTGGAAAACAAATGCTGCACACAAAAGCCTACAAACAAGCAAGAAAATATCACCAAATCCTCCTTGCGCCGGCACCTCGAGAAAGCCACCTGCACCTCCCGTCTAAGCAGATTGTGAAACGCAGCAATGTCACGGGGAAATCAAAACGGGGCTTTACTCGCGAATCTCATAACGCGTGTTCTGTCAATCACAGGACAATGCCGGGAGATGTTGATCCTTTCTGAGCATTCAGGAAGGATTAGTGGGCGGTAGCTATGGCGACAAGCAATTTTAGCTTATATGTATGCAGATTTTCTGTCAGAACATTACATGACACCAGAAAGTCTTGGAGAGGATTCGTATGTGTCATTTTAGATGTCATGTAAAGCCTGGTGTGTGTGTGTGTGTGTGTGTGTATTTATATTTTTTTTCTTAAAATACCATAAAAACACATCCACACACGCAAACACAAAAACATGAATAAACACAATAATTATGGGACAGGTTTGATTGTTATACGTGAACCAAAATGCCCCGTGGACAGGTTGATGATCACGTTTTCTGTACAGGGAAAAGATTGCAAAGATCAAGATGACAGATAGCCAGGTCTCTCGCGTGAAGTTTTCGAAGAAAACGCGCGGCTCAGCAGAGAAAGTCACTGATGATCTCTCATGCTCCACCTCTAACAGGCACCGCTTACCAGGAGGAAGTGGGCGGTAATTACAGTCACGCAGTAGGGGGAGATGGTCTCCAGCAGACACACACACACACACACACACACACACACACACACATGGAGTCCAAGTGCCACAGCTGATAACGAGCATCTAATGAGCGGTGATGTCACGACAACACAGATGCTGGCCGCCAACTCGCTTTTTCGCCTCACTCTCTCTCAGCTGTCCACAGCTAAAAATACACTGAATTGGGCTGAAGCTAACTGATGAACATTTTTTTTTTTCCATGACTTGGATTTCAAATCATCACAAAACAAATTTCCCGTGTTGTAATGTGAAATATAAATTGACAAGGCGAAGACTTGACCAAATGTATAAACTCCAAAAGGAACATGACTTGATTTCAAATCATCACAAAACAATTTTCCCGTGTTGTAATGTGAAAGATATATTGACAAGGCGAAGACTTGACCAAATGTATAAACTTAAATGGTCGGGGTACTGGATCATAAGACCCTCTTCCTAAAATCAAGACTGAAAGAAGAACATTTTAATGAGTTTATTGAACAAAATATTTTACAGTATCTTGGCTATACATATATATACATATCTTGCGTTGTTCTGTATAGCACTATGAAAGCCTGCCAGCAGTGTAGATAAACACTGTCTTCAAAAGGTGATCCAAGGAAATATTCATACACCATTGACTTCAAAACACATTATACAAATTGGAATATAGAAAGCACAAAAAATAAGATATTTTCTGTGAAAAGTACTCACTCCGAGGACAGAAAATGTCTTCATACAAAAACCCCCCAAAAAAAAACAACCATCATGTTTTTGTTTTGTAGTTGCAGCATTCAGGTCATAAAAATACCTGGAATTTCCTCCGTTTTTGGGTGTATGGTTGATGTTCCTCTGCATGGAAATCTCACACAAAAGACTTATTCTAGAACAAATAAAGCAGTGGCTCGGCCACCGGATATTCTGATGTCGTCTCCGCCTCTCAGATAACATACACATCAGACTTCTCCCCGAGAAGCCAGTAGGTTCTCATTTTACCTTTGCCCTGAAACACACAAATCAATAAGTTCATCAAGAGGAACGAAGGGTGCTCGAGGGTCACGTTATATCCACAATTTGCTTGCTGAAATGTGATCACTTCGCTATAAACGGCTTACTTTCATTTCAACATCTCCTCGTAACTGTAGATCAAAGTAGCCGAACTCGTCCAATACTTCTTTGGTAGCTGACGAGACGTGGATCTTCAGAGCTGTAAAAGACACATTATTTTTTACTTTTTCCCCCCAAAAAACTCCATTTACAACATGTCTCCATGATCAAATTGCCACTTGGCCATTTGTGTCCAGGACTTGAGTCGGACCTTTCAAAAAAAATGGAGAAGTCACGCTCAGTCTTGTCTGATCTGAAATGCTACCAAGTCTGTATTATTCTGAGCATTTGCCGCACACGGAGGATATTTGAGACGCGGATCTTGACGGCGGCTTCAGGCTGCAATTTAGCGCTGGCTAAGGGCCCCTCCACTTTAAGTGCTATCAATTATTTACCAGCAGAAGCAGAACACAGGAAGCGACTTAGCAGTTAATCAATACGCCCAATGGCTTGCTCCAGTGATATCCCACCACACGTTCAGAACATGAGTTCCTGTCATTGCACGTTAAAAATAGAACCATCACTAAATAAGGCTTGGATGGCTTACATGACAAAGGGGATGAGGAGGGAAATTTTAATTGAATCAAACAAGATTTTCAAACCACACGGGGTTTGTAAATCTTGTTTGATTCGAAAAATTCCACATCGCAGAATGGCGTTAGAGAGCCTCCAGCTTACCTGCGACATCTGAACAAACAATGAAAATCTACAATGTCCAGTTTAATTCAGCGAACGTGTAGCCATCCGTGTCACTGTTGTCAGAAGCTTAATTCAACTGAATGAACCGTGAATGTGTCTTCATTTTTTATTGAGCAGTCATTAGGTTTTAAAAAGTGTCAGGGTTTTTGACATTCATTTTCCTCGACTTCTTCATTTAGTCATTGAGCAGTCATTTGGTTTTAAAAAGTGTCACGGTTTTGACATTCATTTTCCTCGACTTCTTCATTTAGTAAAAGAATAAATTGACTCGTTCTGAGAATCAGAAGGAAAAGAAAGTCATTAACATTCATGTGGACTGTTTCATTTTGGCCTTTTAAAAAAAATCAGTGATGACAAGAAACACGCAGAATGGAAACACTTGACCGAAGATAACCTCTTCAATTAGTTACGAAAACAAGTTCATTTAAATCACTTCAGAAACATTATTGCACAACAAAGGGACAGCAAGTAGAAAGAAAAAAAAGTAGTAGGCTGAAATGGTCAGCAATAGGAAATTTGTATCACATGTTGGAGAGTCAGACTGTAAAGACACTTGAGGGCTTCTGAGAAAAACAAACAATAACAAGGGATCCTGACGCTCACCCTCTCCATTCGACTCCATTCGGGATGCCGTGTTGACAGTATCCCCAAACAAACAGTATCTGGGCATTTTCAAACCAACCACTCCAGCACAGACTGGACCTACAAAACAAAAAAGTACTATTACATAATGTAGCTCATTGCTAGATCGATTATGTACATAAATAGCGCTAGCGAGGTAGCTAGCTAGCTAGGTAGCTACATAGATACAGGTAGATATGCGTCAACTGTAAATTACATCAGGCTAAAATGATGCAGATACTGTACGTGTTATTCGCTAGCACATACACCAGAGCACGGCATGCGCGAACAGACACACTTATGGCCTGCTTTACTGATTTACACGTGATCTACTAAGATTGTGATCAGGTAGCACATGCTAAATTGCATGTGCACTCTAACTGACTGAATGCGCGGTTGGCAAAAGCTGTAAACAAGTGTTGGAGACAACCTCATTTACTTTGTAAAAGAGAGCATTGTGCTTGATCAGTTTGGGGACATGACGTTTAAAGCTTGGGACAACGCACGCAAAAAACTGCTTCGGTACCATATTGCCAGTTACCCACCACTCAGACAAAAAGTGGTTTATTCAAGAGCGTTGGAGGACTGCAAGAGGTCAAGGATTGCATTGCTCTTAGGCAAAGCCTTCATCCATACGTATGGCCACCCGTACATTTAATCTCACCTGTGTGGATACCTATCCTGAGTCTCAGCTGGTCGTTGGGTCTGTGTCGGATCTTGAACGTTTTCACTTGCTCCAGCAATGCCAGTGACATCCCGGCGATCTCGCGGGCGTGGAGTTTCCCGTTCCGCACAGGCAGACCTGACACCACCATGTAGGCGTCGCCAATGGTCTCCACCTCACGTATAAATCAGACGCGTGATTAATCTCAGATACTTCTATCGAAGCATGATTATAGAGCTTAGCACTGAGACTTGGACTTACTTTGTAAACATCAAAGTTGTCAATGATGGCGTCAAAACAGGTGTACAGGTCATTGAGCAACGTGACCACCTGGAGAGGAACAGAGCAGCTTGTTAACTTTCATGTTTCTCAACTCTGGGGCGAAGTACCCGTATGAAAAAAAAAAAAACACATGAGGACAGTGAAAACATGAGCAGCAAACTCCAAAAAGAAACATCTGGTCTGGGATTCTGAATCCAGAAGACATTCTAGATGGAGTTGAAACCCAACCTCCTTTTTTTTTTGTTTAGTTTTTTGCCATTAGAGATGTTTAGCTGCTTAAGCCTTGCCAGGAATACATACTCCCTGAGAGCTTTGAGACAACAACAATTTCAAGTACCGACTGCAGCTTTCCATATACAGTAGCCTCATCATCTCGAACCACACCACAGTAACGAAGGCAATTCCCATCAGGATGAGGGCATAAGGTTGTCCAAACATGACTGCGTGACCCTCCGGTTCTGGTCGGACATCATAACAGTGTTTCTTTTAAGAATCGGAGGTAGCGCTTGTGGTTTAATATGACTCAACTCTGCGTCTCTGTACTCTTAACAGTCATACTGTTCTGAGTTACAGTAAGCATGTCGAAACACTCACTCTAGGGAAGAGTAAGTCTTACTTGGAGATAGGAAATTGAAATTGGTCCATGGAAAGTGTTTACACATGACAAAAAAAGGATTCGGAGCCTTTCGATTTGAATTGGTTCGATGTTTAAAGATGTCACAGTACCTGAAGCGGCGTACTCTCCGCAGACATGGACGTGAAGCCCACGATGTCGCTGAAGTAGATGGTGACGCTGTCGAAGGCTTCCGCCTGGACCGTCTCGCCTCGCTTTAGCTGCTCTGCTACAGAACTGCGGGCGCAGAGAGACACGAGTTCAATATGTAAATATACTATAAGACAAGGACGAATAAAATGCTGGCGGAGTCTGTGAGGACACTAACGTTAAACAAATGGCGGGGAAAGTAAGAATTGTCCTTTCTCTCAAGCGCTCCTAATGCTGACTGGGTGTCTTTGTACGAGCGAGTATTTTTCAGATGGAAAATGGATAGAACGCTGGGGAAAGGTGGGATTTGCTAGTGATGCGTTTCCCAGGCTCCTCAGTCCACTCACTATCTGCTCTTTACTTCAACTTGATTGTTAGGTCGCCTGTCAGGCCTTTCTGTTCCCTCTCATCTACAGTGAGATTGCATCACGGAGAAAAGCTTCAATGTGGCGTTGAGCCTGATAAATGCATTTTGGCCATGTGGACGTGCCGCTTGTTGCAGATAAGCAGTACAAACCAGTGATATTGTGTATGGCTCACTTTAATGTCAATATAAACTGACAGTAAAAACAATTCCTCGGCACGAAAGGGGGAATTGGTCGCACAGTTTAAATCCAGCCTTGGTGGGAAATGACGCGTGTGTTTGTGAGTGTTTTTTTTTTTTTCTTACTGTGGTAAAATTTGATAGAGAAGATTTTCCGCTTTCCTTTTCTCCTCCAGGTAAGCTTGCGTTCGCTCCTCCACCAGATTCTCCAGATTGTTAGCGTACTGTTCCATTCTGGATAGCAGGTTGTTAAGGATACTGGTGCTGCCTTCCCTGTGGAAAACACCCCCATAGAGCAGAATTAGACGACTGCTGACAGTTTGGTGTAGCAAACAACTCAACTCAACTGTATTTATAGTTATGGAAAAGGCCGACGTTTAGTTCTCGGTACCTATAATCGTGTCTGGTCCAAAGACCTGAGGCACCGGGCAGGTGAGGAGGACCTCAGAGAGGTAATGTGGGGCCAGGCCATTTCAAGATTTGAAAACAAATAATAGGATCTTAAAAAGAACTCCAAAATTAGCCAGTGAAGGGATGCCAGAGTAGGAGTGATGTACCAGTCAAGAGCAGCAGCATTCTGGCCCAACTGGAGACGCCTCATGGAGGATTGGCTGACTCCAAAGTAAAGCGCATGACAGTCATCCAGCCGAGATGTGATAAAGCATGAGTGACTTTTTCAAAGTGCTCTTGAGAAAGGAGAGGCTTGACTTTAGCCAGTTGAAAAAGATGAAAGACGCTACGGACTGGAACCTTTCCAATATCAAGCATCCAAATGTTTTGCACGTTGTAGGCATTGTGCAACTCTAACGAGAAGTGAGATGGAGGTGAGCTACGTTCATGATCTGTCATCTTTTCCATAATGGCGCACATTTTTATGCACATGAGAATACAGTAGTTTGGATGCTCTTATCACAGTTCATTTGGGATAACTATAGAAGTGGCAGTCTCATTTTTTAAAATGTGTGTCTCATACACAAACACAAAGCCATTCCTCGTGTCCTTTTCATCACAATTAGAGCAGCTCCCACATGTCTGCAATTATGTACTCTATGCATTGTATAATCCGACTTCTCAAGAGATGTCTGCATTTATACGCTCGCACTCCCCGCATGCAGACGCATACTGCGCTCGCACGGAGAACACGTATCCAGGAATTTACTCTAAAGGAGAAAAATTGTGAGTCATCGGCACCACATTGCCGGTGTAACGTATCAATGTCTGGCTTCCCGCCATGTTTCTCGTGTGTCACACATCCTACAAACACCCACGCGTCGTTGAAGTTTAAAGAACAACAAATCGGAGGCATGCTACGCACTGAGGGCTAACGTATCAGGCTGTGCGCCATCACACAATTTAGTCTCGATTTTTTTCCCCATCATTCATCGGAACCTGAAGAAAAACGAAGCCGCAACCTAATCATGACAGCGACTCGTGAATTGGTGTTCTCATGAATAAAACAGACGCGATGCTTAAAATTTGTTTTTAGGCAAGGACCAAGAAATGGCCGTTTAATGCTTGAATTCGTTTAACTGCGTTGAGAGACCACCGTGACGAAACACGACTTTTTTTCTACTTCTCCAAAGAAAGTCCTGCTATTGCGTCCGTTTGCGTTGATGTCAATTTTAAGGGGAGGTGTTTTGAAATGTGCCTTGATGGTCATGAAGAATGAAAGAAAGAAAGAAAGAAAGAAAGAAAGAAAGAAAGAAAGAAAGAAAGAAAGAAAGAAAGAAAGAAAGAAAGAAAGAAAAATCCCTGACTGACAACTTTTACTTCAGAAAAATGTACTGGCACATTAACACCGCCCTCAGTTTGAACAGCGAAAGTGATTGTCGACATTTTTGTCAGTTGACTGAAGTCACCGCGTTTAACTTTTGTTCGAACATCTAACCAGACCAAGATTTAACGAGACAAGCTGATAAATGAAGGCCCAGATAAAGGCGGCGTCCGCTGGTCTCAGAATGTTGGTTTTACTTTTGTCCCATAACTTTGAGGTTCACTTTGGAAAAGTATGACGTTTTAAAATCAGTATTTTGTTTTTGAATCAGTCCTTGATATGAGAGTGACGCTCTCGTTTTCCCCACACGAGCTTTTGGATGATTTCGGGGGAAAACATTGGGCCCAGTCACAGTGATAAATGTGTATTATTAAAGGACCTCAAGATCCAGATGCAGATACAACAAAATAAGCATCGGGCGCCATCAACGGTACAGTTTGGTGGAGACCAGCTGAGTGCTTTCTTGTTTACAAAGTAGTTAAGCACACTTGTTGTAGCATAAGGCGGGTAGTATACACACAGTTGGACTTGCACAGCGAGAGGTCGGCTTTTGGTGGAGTTTTAACTCCGTGCGGGTTAAACAAACCGTTTAGTGCTGAACACCCCTCTTGTTACTGCGCCCTTCGGGACAAGCTCGTGAGCGGGCCAAATGGAGCGGCGCACATCCATCACGTCACGTCAACGACAGGCATTGACTTCATGAAAATAAGCAGCAACGGTGCATTATCCTGCTGCATTGCGCAATGAAAAGGGCCTCGCGCGCATGTGGGAGGACAGCGCATGCCACTGTCAAGATCTTCCTTGAGTGATTCCGAGGTGATCGATCACGCGGCGCTCTCTCCCTCCAGACCAGGCCAAAATGGAAAGCTCGACATTACGAGGATTATCTGCCATTTGACTGATAGAGGAGGGGTCATACTGGTGGCAAAACAGAGCAAATACCTTTGTGTAATTGCTTCAAACTGAAGACAAAAAAAAAAAAAAAAAAAGTTGTGAGAGCTGGTCCCCGACGTTTCTCAGCCTTCATCCTATTTTCAAAATGTTCGTGTCAACGGAAAGCTTGCTAAGGACGCTCAACACTTTTAATTAATTCCCAAGTTAAAGCGGAGTAGGCTGTCAGCAAAACATGCACAGACAAAAAAATTGCGAGCCAATCAATGAGCATCTCGTACAGCGAGGGGGGCAGTTATTGTTGATGAAATTCACACCATTAGCACACATACATACATTTGGCGTAGCGTTTTTTTTTTTTGTTTTTTTTTTGCAGTTTGTGCATACGCACACTTAGTGAAGGAGGCCCATAATACCGTCGATGAAGCGAAGCAAAACATTGCATTTTACTTAGGTTGGCTCCAACATGAATTATGAGTGCGTTCGACAAGGTTCTGTGTATGATTGAATTTGATTTCATGAAACCTGACTGCGGATGGTATGATGAAAACAAGGATTTCTCGGCCCTAGGCGCTGTGCAGCCAAGGCGGATCTCACAATCTCTACGTTGTGAGATTACAGGACAGGCATGCAAACACGTTTGCTTTGTAGTCGATCACGAAAGGCCCCTACTCGGGAATGCCAAAGAAAATGGATTCCAACTCCTTTGCGACCCCCGGTACCGATGCATTTTATTCATAGCTCAATTCTATTTATGTTCAGTTACATTATTGGGAAATGTCTCCAAGCTTGTGTCAAGCATAATGAACCGCAAAGATGATTTTAACACCACCGGGCCTCGATCGATACATTCGGCTTTGCTTTTATGCAGATTGCCTTGAGTCAGGGGTGCCCAACCTTTTTGGACCGAAGATCTACTAACGCCACCGGGCCTCGATCGATACATTCGGCTTCGCTTTTATGCAGATTGCCTTGAGTCAGAGGTGCCCAACCTGTTTGGACCGAAGATCTACTTTTCAAGCGACCGACCAATCCCGCGATCAACCCGTTACCGCATGTGCACGCATACGCAGGCACGCATGCCACGATGAGCACGATGAGCGTTTGGATCAGTCAACAAAAATGATTCATACCACTGCTTTTTTTGGTGCAGCTTGAATACACTGATCAAAATTATGCGGGGCAGACAGAAGATGAAGTGACATTGAGATGACCGCAATTGTTTTTAAGAATCGAATTAAAATCATTCCAAATGCAAGATGGCGGCGTCTTACTTATTGAGTTTGGCCATGTAGATCTTGATGTGGCCGAAGTCGGGCCTCTCCGCAGGGTCCTCGGCCCAGCAACCCTCCATCAGGATGGTCAGCTCCTCCGAGTGACATCTCGTATCCGTCGTGGGCCGAAAGTATGGCTTCTGGCCGTTTCTGACCTTCTGCACAATCTCTGAGGTGGAGAGGAAAGGTCGCGCTGAGCCAAACGCAAAACAGATCTCTGTTGGCCATTTTTGGAAACATGGCACTCCAAAGGTTATCGCCACTTCCTCTTCTTTGGTTTCAATCGTGTTTGGAAAGCACTACGATAGTGTTTTAAGATTCTGCTGTTATTTTAAAGCATTTTATCAGACCTTGGAAAAGGTTCAGGCTCCTTTTGCCTGTTCGTGGATTAGTGGCATTTGTACAATCACCACCGAGCGTGACCGTGAATAAACATCTCAAAAACGTCATCCGGTGACGAAAATCCCCCGAGGGGATGTTAGATAGCCATTGTGGTGATGTAAAGGTTTGAGCACTTGCTCTTGAATAGCTTTCAAGGTTTTCCTTTGCCACTGAGGCCTTGTCATCGCCTGATAATCAATAGCTGGCGACCATTCCCGAACTTGAAGGCAAACAGAACGAGAGCACTGCGTTTACGCGGAGAAAACGACTGTTAAATATCCTTGAAAAATTATTTCCTCCAACAAGAGTGGCTTCAAGTCTACGTGTTATACTTTTCAGAACTGTGGTAAGTAAGTGCTCAAACCAGTCGGTTTTTTTTTTTTCTGTTTGCATAAAAAGCAGCAGCTCCACTTTTAATATAGACCAGATGACGAAAATCCCATCGGCTCAGTTTTTCGACTACACTTACGACTGGTCCTTTTTGGAAATCATATTACCAATCAGCTTGAAAACATCCAGGCCCCCCCCCTCAACTCCCCCCACCTCCGTTTCTAAAAATGAGCTCCAGTGTGAGACAGCAGACAGGCCTCCACTGGCATTCCTGATGCCTCAAAAGCAAAAAGGTGGTCGAGCTTATGTGGTCTTGGGCCCCTCAGTTCTGGAATGCTCTGCCCGAGGCTCAGAAAATTGCCTCTCCAAATATATGAACACTTGGTAGCTGCTTTGACAGTCCCCTCCAAAAGTATTAGAACAACAGCGGCAATTCCTTTGTTTTTTGCTGGATACTGAAGACATTCGGGTTTCGGATCAAACGATGAATATGAGACACAAGCGCAGGGTTCGATTCCGGCTCCGGCCTTCCTGTGTGGAGTTTGCATGTTCTCCCCGTGCCTGTGTGGGTTTTCTCTCGTGGACAAAAGGGTGCGCAGGAGTTAAGTTTACCTTTAGGGCTGAGGTCCATGCCTTCCACATAGAAAGGCCCATTCCTTAAGGCTATTTCTTGCAGGATGACGCCAAAACTGTACACGTCACCCTTTTGTGTCCCCTGAGGAGGATGGTGGTCGTATATCAGGAGCTCGGGAGCTGTCCACAGCTTCTCTACAAAAAAAAAAAAAAAAAAGTGAGGCGCTGTCAAAACGGAGGCAAGGATACGGGAAGTACATCCGATCGGGACAAAGGCAACTTACTCGCATAGAGAGCATGAGAGTCATCGTTTTCGCAGGACGAGCGGAAGCAGGCCACTCCATAATCGGTGATTTTCAACACAAATCGGCTGTCCACCACACAATTAGATGACTTCAGATTTCCATGGCAGCCAAAATAGCTGTTGTGAAGGTAGTTCATGCCCTGGAAAGCAGAGGTACATTTATTCATGCATTCATTCATGCAGGCAGGACACCACCCCCCCCCCCTCAAAATGAGGACATATCCAGTATCTTTCGGACACATGGAAACAATAAGTTTTGACAAGTGGAGGCATGTTGAGGGTATTGAAAAGAGGCCAGGTTTCAAGGACATCGCAGTCTCGGGGGAATTTCTGTGAAATCACTGTTAATTCCTCCAGGGTGAAGCATGGAGGGTGTGGGGGGGTGTCAGTGGAGATGGACAATATTTTGTGGAAACGGTTGTGTCAGTTTGTGGAAACATCCCTCAAAGCTTCAGCAGTGTCTGCTCGCCACTGGACTCTGCTATCTGTAAGGAGCGATTCAACTGAAGCGCTTCATTATGCATCCAGTTCAATATCGAACCCTTCCAAGAGTCGGCTCTTGTGACAAAGAACATCTGTGTTGGAGAGCAGAGGTCCCCAAACCTTTTTTTGTGTGCGGAGCAGTTGAGACAAGTACATGCATGCTGTTTGCGACTTCTCTTGTCAAATTTGCTTCATCTTCGGATGTCACGGCTGCCCCTCAGCTCCGCGTTTGGCTAATTTGTTACTCGTACATTCTGTGCACTGCTTCTCCTTTCATTTATCGACAAACTCTGTTGATTTAAATTTGCAAACCAATGTTGGAAAGAGGACTCCGATTGGCTAGAATTGCCCACATTTCCGCCACGTCCGACGGAGTCAATCTGCTCCCAGGTCTTGACTCTGTACAGCCCGGTACCAAATGAGCCATTGGGGACCACTGTTCTCGAGGTTAGAAAAGATTTTTTTCAGTAAATCCATGATTAGATTCGATGAAAGAAAATATGTGGCGTTCCAATGGATGTTTTTGCTCTCCAGGTTGCGTAATAGTAATATTTACAGGATGCTGAGTTGGTTGTGCCAGTTCATATTGTCTGTACTCTCTCTTACACACTATTCACGCGAAACCATGGCAACAACCGAGGCGGTTTCTGTGTTTCTCTAAGGCTCACAAAGCATCTTTTTTTTTTTTTTTTTTTTTGCAGTTGAAAATGCCTTTGTGGCTTCACCCCTTCCCACTCGTGTACCTTCACGATGTCATTGATCAGTGAGTAGCGGAACATCCAGTCCAGGTTGATGCTCTCATTCTCCAGAATATCCTGCAAGGCATACACACGAGCTCATCATGACCAGAAACCAGCAAATTTTTACAAAGACAAAGATTTATTTTCAAAACATCACTTCTGCTATCCTCGACTACTTTCAAGTATTTTGGGAGAGAAAACACCTTGAGGGCAGACCTCTCTTGCCTTCTCTCATATGCTCAAGGCCCCACATGCCAACCCGCAAGATGCTAATGACCCGGCCAGTGTGTGGAATCAGACTACACAGTTGTCAACCAGTCAAATCATAACAGTTGCTGCCATCGAGAAAAACTTCTCAAGCGCCGCGAGCGATAAAGCCCACGGTTGAGTTCCACATGGTTCCCCAAGTTCGTCCGTTTTAATAAGCTGCTGCAAGAGAGACGGCAGGCCAAAAATAAGAAGCCTTCAAGAAACCTGCACTTGCATTTCTCCAAGAAAAAGACACACGTGTCAAAGTCAACTCTCTTGGGGGTCAGCATTCAATAAAACTACTGAATAGTTTCATTTATTTACTTCTGGTGCTCGGCAGATTGGAGCATTCGTTACTGCCAGTAAAAGCGGCTCACCCATTCCCACAACTTTTCATGGCTGCATTGAGTCTGCCTCATCCTGTCAGAGTTTTTTTTTTTTTTGGTTTTGGTTGACAATACGCCATATGTCCCAAACCCCTTCGCCAAACATCAAACTGTCAGCTGCTATTGTTGACAAAGCAAGAACACATGAATGAAAGGAAGTACAAAATGACTGTCTTGTTTTTTTTTTTTTTTAAGGACTGCTAAGAACAAACATTTGCAACTCAAACGTGGCTTTATTGAAAAGAAGGCAATGAGAAAAAACAGCTTTTGAACAGTGGCTTGGGTAGGGCACAGGTAAACATTTATTTTAACTCAATCTATGAACTTTCGGGATTCTTTTTTTTCAAGGCAAGAACCCTTCATCTTGTGGAAGTAGAGTGATCAAATGTATGCAGATTCTTTTTCTGGTCATGTGTGTTCTTCAGGAATTGTTTCTTTTTAAGGACGAAGCAAAAATGGAGACCACGCAAACTCCGCACCGGAATCCAACCCTGCACCTTTGCGCCGTGAGGCCGGCGTGCTAACCGTTAAGTAAGATTCTCTTGAGGGCAAATTCCACGTGAACCAATTTGACTTTGTGTTCTTTGCTGCGACAGATCTGAATTGTCAGTTACCTAAAACGACATTGATTGGGGTGATTTGAAAACGAGGTTATTTAAAGTTTTCCAAACAAAGGGGACCCTACCTGCAGACTGCCTCTGGGACAGTACTCCGTTATAATGCATATGTTGGGAGGGTCGATGCAGGCTCCGATGAAGCGGGTGAGATGGTTAAACTGGACATCTCTCATCTGGAAATAAGACAAACACAGTGAAATTTTCCACACATCACATTTCTCCAACGCTGTGGGAACAGAGGACAGGGGAAAGGACTGGCACTTCATTTATATTCAGACTTGGAATTACGCCTGCCAGCATTTCGTCAAAATCTTCTCCTCGCAGTCAGCTAGTTGGCACGTATTCTACATGCAGAGACTGACTCCTGCACAGGGCACCTAGTTGAAACGTGCAAGTGCATAATTTGGTCATGGTGGTTATGAATGAGGCAGTGTGTGTATGGGGGCACAAGAAAAAAAAAAAAAGAAAAAGATGCGTTGAGAGGATGTACAAGTAGGGAGCCCCACAACCAAGCAGAATCTGTACATGTAAATTTCCCTGGCGTGGAGAATTTACACAATCGAATTAAACCTGTTTGAAACTCGGGACGTTGCTTTTGATGAAAACGCCTTCGTGGTGCCTTTAGCATGACCCCAGCCGAGCAGCGCTAAACAAATATATTTCTGTAGCCAGCGGGAAAGACCCGGGGGCCAGTCATTTCGGCAGGTAGGCGACTTTTCATGACTGACAGCCGTTCTCACAGCAAAACCCGGGAGTTGGTTGCTTCTGTTTTACAGCCTGGGAGATGTTAGCCTACCCTTTGCCCTATATAATTCCCCCTGCTGAACAGTGACTGGTGGGGTGGGGGGGGGGTGTTGGGGGGAAGGCGAGAAGGGAGACAAGTGGTTAAGTTTCCACCAGCGGCCCCCATCTGGTGGGCTTTTTCATGAGCTGAGGTTTGACGGGCAATCCAGCCTCTGGGAGGTCTGAGAAGTTGCTAGTCCAGACAGCAGCCCCCGGTCCCATGTGGCCTGCTGACTGACTGAGAGGCCGCGCAGGCTTCCAGGAAGCCCTGATTGATCTTCATGTGGCAAGTTTAAAAAAAAAAAAAAAATCTCTCTTAGGTCGAGTCTTGTCAGGTTTTGCGAGGGGGGGGTTGGTTGGACCTAAAAAAGCAGGGGGGCATTTCGAGCAAACA